CACCATCGTATGCCAAGAGGAGGTGAAGGTGGCTCGATCGAGTGATAATATATGACACAGAGGGAGCATTCTGGGCTGAGGATGGTAAAATTGTATTAGAAGTTGTTCAAATTGTTTTATATTGCTAAATAATTTTCTATCGATTTAGATTTCGGAAGGAGATTTTTTTTCCAGGCGGATATCGTCAGTACGATACGATTTTACAAACACTATTGATTCTATCAGGTTTAATATTTATAACCTATCATTTGACAGAAAAACTTATTGACGATTATCGCGACATAGCTATATATATATATATATACCTTGAATTAGCAGGATTTTTGGGCATGATACTATACCCTAACCCTTAATAAGTGAACCCTAGGTCCTAATTATCTAAATCATAAACTATAAAGCCTAAGATGGTGCATTATTTTTTTGCCTATATTTGGAAGAATCATAACCGTCGATTATTGTTTTTAATTAAATTGATCTTGGGGTATAAGATTAAGAGAGTTAAGACCTAGGTTTTGATATTTAAGGGTACGTAAGAGTATAGTATCATGTCCGAAACATCAGTCAATTCAAGTTTTGGATAACGTTTTCTTACTCAATGTATGCGATACCCCGGATTTCACTCCGAGTACCGTAGAACTCTCCATATATATATATAAAAAAAAGTTCGAGCTGGCCATTAACAAGTTTGTCGAGTATTCATGACGTATATTTGGTACTTTCAGACGTATATATGTACCGAGATCCCATTATAATGAACAGTTTATGCATATCAGTCAGTTTATGCGAGTTTGGTGAGGCATATATGTTTCGTCCCTAAAGAGGGAAACGACGACAGCCACAGAACAAACCTTGGCCTACTCGTTTCACTTCCAGTCCCCTCTCCCTTTTCTCTTTTTTGCCAATCGATCGCTTCTTCTTTCCGCTTGTTGGTGTTATGTTTTGGAATTGTAGGGTAGCTACTAATTAATCACGTCTTCTCCAACGTGTTAATTGTCTCATCTTATCTTGAATAGTTAACTAACTAGCAAGACAAGGATCATATATGATGTTTAATAATGCTTTAAAAAACAAATAGTAAAGCGATAGTCGGTTTAGAAAAAAAAATAGTTTCTTTTTATTAACGATACGTGGATTTCAATTACTGAATAATAGGGTAAATTACGATTCGCATTTAATTGTTGTATTAAGGATATTGGAGTATACTAAACAAGACATTGCTATCCTTCTACCAATAATCAAGATGAGTCATTTGATTTTGATGCGATGGGAAGGATCGAATAGAGTGTTTAACACTACTCTAGAGAAAAAAAAGAAGGTTAAGCTAGTGTGTTGGGTAAATTTTAGTTTTTAATCATAAAAGAATAAGTGATTTTGGTGGAACGATATGTAAATATGAAGACGTTATGCTAGCACGAAATAATTATCACTTTAAAAGTAAAATTATGAGATCTGTTTTTTTCCCTCATTAATACAAGTGTGTTGACCATCGAAACCGTGCTTTGGGGTTAACAAGCAGTCACATCAGGCAATTAGGTGTCACGTGGACGTCCGTGATAATATACGTATTCAAATATGTGAACTCTCTCATGCGACCCTAACATCTTTGCCTCTTTTTTTTTATCGAGACATCTGGTATCTCAAAGTGCATATACCAAGAATATTAACTATTATTTAGTCATATCACAAACACAATATATATTCCCCACGAATCTTATCTTCCTACTACCATATTTGACGTAGCAAAAGCTATTTTTGCATGTACTAGAGATAATCAAGAGATTAAGCAAGACCCAAAAAAGTGATTATGTAACCATGAACTTTTTCACTTTAAAGATCCAATTGGGACCAACATAGCTACAATATTTGTACGTAGGTGGATTGGATACATATTTATCCAACCGCACTAAGATTCCAGCTCCAAAGGGGTCGGGTCGGGTCAAATTTGAGCTTGAGAGCACTGATACGAATGAAAGCGAAAGATCAGTGAGTGACCACTGTTTTCCAGCTTTTTTCTACTACTGATTTCTCTTGTATTGTGGAAACTGGGAAAAAAGTTACGTGTATTTGTGACGTGTGGTCCACCGTCACGTGTATCTGAAAGGGGTTAGTCGGGCTCAGTTTGGGCTGGGGGTCCAAGTCGTGGAGGTGTTCATGGATCCTCTCAATCCTCTGTTTGCAGGTCCAGGCCCACGAGTCCGTTCTGGTGGTGCATGTTGCTGTAGGACCACCTGCTTAGCCATCTTTGCATAGGCAAAAGAAAAGGGGAAACAGAATCATCCATGATAGAAGATATATATAGATATTGGGGACTAGATTCGGTGAATAGCCTTGTGGTGAGTAACCTCATGAATAACCCAATAAGAATCTGCCACATCAGTGCCTCATTCTCTCTTCTGAAAAATCATTAATTTTTTTCTCTTAATTTTTAACGGACGATTTCTCACTCGTTTTAACTCGGAATTTAATTTTTTTTTGCACAGTTAGATCAAATTAATTGTGCTCTTCAAAATTATATACACTTTGATATTTTTTGGAACAAAAAAAATTTGCCAGTTATTACCCGTCTATACCATATGGTATAGTCAGCATACCATATGGTATGAAAATACCATATGGTATTGACTGGTATTAAATAACAGCATACCATATGGTATGAAAATACCAGTCAATACCATATGCTGTTATTTAATACCAGTCAATACCATATGATATTAAATAACAGCATACCATATGGTATGAAAAATACCACCTCATACCAGGGTGGTATAGTATGGTATGGAGTTGGTAACGAGAGGTTTAAAATTTTTTCCCCCAGAAAATTTTGAAATCCAATAGATCATATGATTAAATCGTTCCTTTTGTGCAAAATTTTCCGAAAATGACTAAACAACGAAGGAGATACCATATGGTATGGAGTTGGTAACGAGAGGGATGAAATTTTTTTTTTCTCAAAAAATATTGAAAATGGATATCATTTTGTAGAGCACAACGAACTCGTTCCATCTGTGCAAAAAAAAATTGAAATCCGAGTTAGAATGAAGAAGATATGATCCAATTAAGAAAACTAGGGAAAATAAATTCCTTTAATTCTCCACCCTTAGATCTGCAGTCACTTAAAAGAAGGGTCCAGATTTGGTTACTCATTGTTACTCACCCTATCTTGAGCCGTGATATTGGGTTAACGCATTAACACCTTGAGTATTCACGTTGGCCTTTCGTTTTAAATTGCAAGATGATATGACATGAGTTTTTGTAATGCAATTATAAATTTAGATTTATTGATGTGATCATCAATTGCATATTTGCAATTATAAAACAAATGTAATTGAATATGAAAGCCAAAACAATCTTAAAAAGGAGAATAACTCATAGGCAAAATGATATAAAAAAAAGGAAATGATGGCTTCTGCAATAGGTTTATTTAGTTATATTTCCTTTTTGCCCCATAGTTTAAGCTCATATGCAATTGCATTGTAGGGACTATCTGGTTCTTTACCAAAGTATTTTGTGACTAGGATGTCTTTTATTCGAATATTGGTGAACTATTTGTTAAGCACATGGTATTTCGGACCAGATCTTCGCAAACTTCAATCCACATATGAGTGTGACTTTCGTTTAGAGCCTTATGTTACAGAGAGGCCTTCTATTTGACTCCATCATCTTAACATAAAACCCATCATCTTATTAAGGGTTGTTTGCTTCGTGGATTTGTAAAATGAAGGTTTTTTATAACTTGGTTTTTGATAAATAATGGATATATGAGGTTTTTGGCTTCATTATGGATTTGAAAAAGACCATTGTTTGTTTCATGGATTTCATTATGAATTTTGTTAATTAAATTTGTATGTATGGAGTGAACTTTACATTTATTGCCCTTAATGATATAAGAAGAGAAAGAAAATATGAGGGATAGGTTGGCAAACAATGGAGTTTGAACAAAATTCATCATGAACCCAAATCTATCACCAAATCCTTCATCATATCCATCAAGCAAACAAATGTTTTCTTCTAAATCCATGTGATCTCCTTTCAAGATGGAGATGAAACCTTTTACACAATCATATGTAGAAAGCTTCCACTATCAAAGATGATGCATAGTTAATTAGTAGTAACCGGTTGTTTATCTCCATGGCCTTGGTTTGGAGGCCAAAGTGTCCCAATCAAAGGGTGAAAGTAAGTTGGGACTCAAAAGCACATGTGCTACAACACAAACAACGGACGGTCTTGGATCAGTTCACCTAGCACTGGGCAGCCCACCCATGGTTTCGGGGCAGAAAACCACTTGCTTCACAGCTTCTTACTTACCTTCATTCATGTTAGATAAAAAAAAAAACCCCAGAAAGGAGGACAGATAAACCTTTAATAAAAAGCAAACTACCTGAGGGCTGAGGCAAATATGTCAAAACATCATCTCATTCATTAGCAAAGTCACAGCATAATCCATAAACAAACGTACAAACTGGATACATAATATGCATCCATTCTAAACAAAAAAGCCTACTTACACGAATTCATTGACCCGATCAACTTCTCGATTAAGACCGATCGAAAGATAAAAGGAGAGTAAGATATCATATAAGACTTGAAGAGCTGAAGATAATATGCACATACAACATATGGATCATTCGTCATGTACAACGTATTGTAATACCATGTCCATATTTTTGTTTGCCTCGCGTCATTTTTATTGGCTTTTGCTCTGTTTCTGCTGTACATATGACTTGCCAGTGATGATTATGTAAAGCAGCCAGTGGATAAGGGGCTACTACTAGATCCTCGTGTCGTGCCCACCTCCTTAGTCTTTTGTTTCAGTGACGATTAAGACATCACAAGCACTAAGCTCTGCATAATCATGTTAAAAGTACCCATTTGCAGTGGTGCATAATAAGAGTCGCATTAAATATGGAGGAGCACTAATAATAATTCAGCTGAACCCAAGATTATCCATAACTATAGCTCCAAGTGTATTCAATTCGGAGGGATTTGATACATATAATGATTGAGTTATAATTCCAGATATAGATCAAATCGTAACGAAACACACTTTCAACAAATGGACAAATTGTACAAGGAAATTCCACATAAATTCGTTATGTATGCAAAACTCGACGAGGGTACAAGACTGGTCAAGAAAATTAAGCTACAGATGTACTTAAATTAATCATATCTTCATTCTGGATCACACTGCAGTAATGATACCTTCCTAGCACATGTATCTTCTTTGTGAGAGTCATTAAACCTGGGGGACTGTGGTTTTTTTGCCTTTCTTCTCCCAAGTCTCATTTCAACTTAATATTTAATAAACCACACAGAGAAAAGAAACAGAGTACTTTTGTGGGAGGGGGAGCAGAAGAAGACAGAGGGATCAACCGACCAAAAACTAGAAACCTTTGCAACAACAACAAAAACAAGCGACTCCAATTGTTGGTATTCAACTGCAAAACCATCAAACTCCCCTCCCGAAAACCTTATATAAACCTCCAAGCCATGGCTCACTCATTTCAACAAAACAAAGCAGCACAGCAAGCAAGTTCATTCTGCATTCAACTTCCTTTTTCCTCTTCTCTTCTGTTGTGAAATCTAAGTGCAAAAATAATGGCAAAGAATGTAGCTCAATCTCCCCTGGAGACCAGCATGGCTTCACTTGACCAAAGGTTGGCCATGGCCAAGCGTTGTTCTCATGGTATATACTTTACTTTTTACTTCTTTTTGAGCATGCAAAGGAAATTGCTTTTTTGGCTCCACATGCTGCCCCTGGGATTTGGACTTCTGGGTTCAGGAGAAAATGCAGCCACCACCATCATGCATACACTTAAAGCTATATATTACTATTGTTATGATGCATCTTTGTCATGATTATGAGCTAGCTATACTCTATGTATTGCTTTCTTTTATCATCAAAGGGTATATGCCTACAATGTGATAAAAGATGTGGTCTATGATAACACCAACATCCCCAATTAGAACCTTTTTGAATGAATCAATTCAAAATCTCCTCACTTTTTGTTCACAAAGAACAGAGTATCTTATGCATAGGAGGCTTTTGTATGTTTCAGCATCAAAATGGATAAAAAGGAAAGGAAGGGAAGAAAAGTGGTTCTTTGATTATGATGATGATGGACCTAACCTTAGACCAAGTCACCAAACAAACAACTCTTTTGCTTTCTTTCAATTTCCTTTCTTCATCAGAATGGTTTTTTTCTAAGATTCTAACCTTTGGACCCAGAAATTGCACACGAAGAAAAGCTATGGAATATGGTCGGTCAAGATTTACTGCTGCTAGCTAACCTATAATGTATTAGTTAACCAAAACTAGATAATTAGTTTGCTTTTTGATTATCTTTATTGAGTACTGACATTTTCTTCTCCATGTTTTTGATGGGTTTGCTTTTGACAGAGGGAGTGGTTGCAGGAGCAAAGGCAGCTGTCCTTGCTAGCATTGCTACTGCAATCCCAACTGTAAGTTCATTTCTAGACTCTTAGACTAGTTAGAACATTTCCCAAGCTCTGACTAACTGTGCCCCTTGCATGTGCAAATATGCAGTTTGCTAGTGCAAGAATGCTTCCATGGGCAAGAGCTAACCTAAATCACACTGCCCAAGCCCTCATCATCTCCACAGGTTGGCTCACTTTCACTAAAGAAACACGTGATTATCTTTATCCTTCTATAATGTTTCGCCTAGTTGTTAATGGAGTTTTCTGGTTTCAATGGCAGTTGCTGGAGCAGCCTATTTCATAGTTGCTGATAAGACTGTCCTAGCTACAGCAAGGCAGAACTCATTCAAGCATGCTTCCAAAAATTGAAGAAGCATGGATTCTAGTTTCTACTGTGATCAATTATGTGAAATTCATCCACTGTGGTGTATAAATAAGATGAGCTTCACGTATGAAACTAAAACAAATATGTATCCAGCAATTGGAGTAACCAAATGGGGAACCAAGTTCAGCTTACTTACATGGTTTACCAGTAGGCGTTACACGAACACCGGCCATCTCTGAAATGATGGAACCGATTTCTGTCTCTAGCAATGATTTCGCTATTAAAGATCTTTGGAATCAGCTTAGTTGCAGAGTGACAGTTACCACAAACACGCAGATTCTTCACTATAGTTATCATAGTCCCCGGCTTTGTATCGATCAATCCAAAAGCAATCGCCAGCTTCTCACTGTGATGGCTCAAGACCTCATCTTTCCTTTCCTCGTCCATATCATACAACACTTCGGGTTCTGGGCTCATTTCCATATCGTTTATTAGTCTCTCTCCTGCATCAAACAACCCAGCTTTGCCTAGAAGATCTATCATACAGCCATAGAGCTGCAATTTAGGAGTAAAGTTGTAATCTTGCACCATTGAAGTAAAGTAGTTCCGTCCTAGATCTACCAAACTGACGAAGGCGATGTCATCTGGTGCAAACACTTCGTTTGTCTTTATGGAGAAGGGCTCGAGTACTATGTGAGGACGCCCGTGCATAGCCAACCCAGATATCATTGCATTCCAAGAGGCCATGGTTTTAGTTTCCATGGTATCGAAGATTTGTTTGGCTGCCATGATATGACCGCATTTGGCATACATGTCAATGAGGCTCGTCCGTAGAGCATTATTTATAGTCAACAGAAATCTGTTCATTTACTTGTCTATATCAGCATGGATCCATAATCCATCTACCGAGAGCCAGAGCACCCAAGTTGGAAAAAACACGAAGAATGCTTACCAAGCCAGTGCTTCCTTGTGGCCGCCCATGTGGTTATAACCGCCAACCAAAACGTTCCATGCGACCACGCTCTTCGTTTTTATGTTATCGAACACATTCGTGGTCCTTAATACAAGAATGCACCCAATTGCCAAACTCCAGAGATCTGAATTCGCACATGCTGAGAGGACAGACAGTATAGTGCTCATGTTTCGGGGTGACTCTCTCATTCTAACGATATCTTCTAAGAAAGCTATTGCTGCTTCATATTAGCCATTCTGGATATGGCCTGAAATCATAGCATTCCAGGAGACTACATCTCTAACAGGCATTTCATCGAACAGTTTCTGAGCTTCATGGAGTTCATCCATAAGCCCATTAGAACCATAACCATTGATCAGAGCCGTATACAAAATGGCATCTCTCTTAGGAATCTTGTCAAACACTGATCTACCATAACTCAGTTCGCCATTCTGAGCATACATGTTAATCAAAGAAGTATGAACGAACGCGTCTTACTCAACACCCAGCTTCAGAACATGTCCATGTATTTTTTCCTCTTCATGGGCATTCCTCAGTTTCGCGCAGGACTTCAAACGAAGACAAATGTGTGGTTGTTCGGCTCCAAACCAGCCACCATCACCATATGGATGTAAATTTCCAAGGCCAGAGCAGGGGTTTCACTCAACGCCAATCCCCTGATTACATGGTTCCAGATTATCCGATCCAGGTTTTCGACAGTCTCGGCGAGCGACAGGGCGTAAGGCATGTCACCAAAGGGAGAAACTGTTGGGAATGAATAGCTTTGAAAGCTATATTGAATTAATTATCCGGTATTCTTTCTAGATACAAAAATAGAAGGATAATTAATAAAAAGAATATTATGGAGATAATTAGAATTAATTATCCTAATATAATATATTTTAATTATGGGAGTAATTATCTCCCTAATTAATTATGACTTATTCCCAAAGAAAGAGAGAATATTCTGGGTTTTCTGCTCCTATAAATAGGAGACGCCCCAAACCCTCTAAACACACCTCAGAGAGCAGAAACACGAGATAGAGAGTGAGTTCATAGAGCTCCGATTTTCGCACAAAATCGATGAGCAACAAAATAAGAGTGGCTGTTTTATCCTGGAGGCGACCGGCTGATAGTCTGCCGTGCGCAACGAAGGCAGTGCCGCGAACGTCTTAAAGAGAGCGACCTAGTCCGCGACTCAGCCAGATCGGTAACCCTAATTTTTCTGTTCGGTTTCTAACAATTTTAAGACGCTCGGTTGCTGTCATGTCCGAACAGATTATCGCATCTGGCTCCAATGAATCGCAAGAAACTGTCGCTGTCCAGAACCATCTCGCTAGCCACGATTACAACCACCGCGAGAAGAACAAGGAGATTGAGGAATTACCTCTGATCCAAGAGATCCCTGTAGGAACTCCGCTAGCCGATAATTTCCAGGACGGGAATTTTGTTCAATCTCCGAGAGCGGAGGCGATTACCCGGATGCGGAGACGGGGAAGTAGGTGGTGTTCGGTCCATGATTTACGAAGAGAGAGCGCCCAGATTAGAACATATGCCTATTACATCCCCAAAGCTATTTTCGTATTAGCAGCCGCCCAATTCTTTTCCTTTTGGGATCGTAATTAGGAAACAGCACGACACAATTTGATTCATCGGTGAGCCGGAGAGCGGCGACCCGAGCAAGATGAAGCTAGGTCACCAAAAGGTTTTGGGCGGTGCTTAGGTGAAATTGGTGGTGATTAATCTACAAGTTTTGGGGGACCAAGTTCAAAAAGAAAGTGGAAACAAGGAACCAATTGGGGTTTTTCTTTCTTTACTTGGAGCCCTAAAAATACATGCCGCCTCCACTACCTGGGCGGGACAGCTGGACTGCTCACTGCGGACAAGATTGATAAAAGTTGAACTCCATTGTTCTGCCAAATGGAGTCTCCCGAATGATGATCACGAATTGGATGATCATGGTAAAGAACCGGTTTGTTGCCTGAAGTTGAACCTCGAGGGCAATATGGAGAGAAGCAGGGCTAGAAAGTGGAAACAAGGAAGCTTGAGTGCTGCTAGCTATCCGGTGCAAAATTAAAAGGCCATGACTTCTTGAGAGGATCGTACTCCGGGGAGCTATGCGTGGGCTAGTTATTTTGTGTGAAATCAGAAGACAATGACTTTTCGAAAAGAGGTAAGAACTGAAACCTTACTTATGAGTCATTTATTAATGACAAATTAGAATCTACCATATGCATGGCATTGAGAATCATTATGAATGCTAGAAATGAAAATCTAGAATTGATGCATGTTGACATTGAGATTTATTAACTCGATGATTAGAGTATAAATGAAATACATGTTGTGGAGTAGAATGATTTTGTTTAAATGCATGCATATATGTGAAGAATATATGGGAATAGAATGGGTTTATTGCCCATAATAACGATATGATAAGAAGTACTATTATCAGTACTACACGAACCACTTAGGTTGCTGTGAAACATTAAAGTTTCAAGAATAAGAGCAGCAAGCTGAACCAGATCCACACCAATTAGAATGGTACCTATCGTGGTAACCATAAGATTGTCACACAATTCTCTAAGAATGGCGCTATGTTTCTCAATTAAATTTGAGAAGAACTAGGTCATATGACACGAAAGTGTTAGAGCAAGTTTAACCTAGTATTGTGTTAACTTGATTAGAGAAGAGGATTTGACAATAATAATCACTTAGGTGATGACAGAGGTTAGCCTTAATGGTAACTCTGAAGAATGGTTGTTGAATAGGATCGCTTCAAGATATGTGTGTGATAAACGAGCTAAGCTCAATCATACATTGACGCATATTGAAGGAGAAAGTGTTGTTGGCCAAGACCCTCACCACTATTGTTGATGGTTCTGGAAAAGTGGAAGAGAATTCTGCTTCTAGAAAGTCATTGACTATCCTAGATGTAAGGAATGGTTAAGTAGATAAGATAAATTCTTCCAAGTGTGAAGAATTAGAATATCTTATATCGCATTCCCATATTATTATTGGATGCTTGAGAAAAATATGAATTTTCTATATCCAAGCTAAATGACCCATAAATATGTGAATAGAGAATCAGAATTAATAGATCTGATTTATGTGGGTAAACTTGATGGAAAAGACAATAAATAATTTATTGCTCTTTAGAATGCTCTGATTGTCTAACTAGTTATTCGAAATAGTTTGAAATGCCTAGTTGCATTATGATTGCACTGATTATTGGATATGTGACATGCATGTGGTAGCGTTAAAAAATCAGTGTAGCATGATAACTAGAAGAGCATATGAGTGTGTTTTATGTTGTTAACAATAAAAACACATAGTTCCTATGAAACGAAATATTCATGTTGTTGTGAAATCCATTCATGCCAAGAAACTTCCATTTTAAATCAAGAAATAGTGGGGGTAGTGTCCTGCCTACTATTAGAAATAATGGATAACTAGTGGGGGTGATGAATCTGAGTATGAACTCGGAAGAGACAAATGAACCATAAATCTCGAAAGGATTTTGGTTATGAATTTGTTATTTACACCCTAAGAAAGAAAGATCCTACAAGTCTGCTAGAAGTTCGAACTTCCATAAAGATGCAAAATTGTGGGAGAATCCATTATTAACGAAATGGAATTATTGGAGTCTAATAAGACTTAAAATCTTGTAGAGTTACCTCTTGGTTGTAAAGTCTTGGGTAATATATCGATAAAATCAAAAAGATTTGGCATCTTTGAGAATTACCTCTTGGCAATGAAGTCATGGGTAATAAATGGATTCTTAAAAGAAAAGTGAAACCTATTGGTTTAGTTTATGAGTATAAGGATCGCCTAATAGCTAAGGCTTTAAGCGAAAAGGAAAAATTGTAAATTTTCTTGTTATCTATTCACCATATGTAGAATAACATCCATGTATGTTCTGATTGCTAGTGTTGTGCGTCAGATGGATTGTTAAACATGTTTCTGTGAATGGTGATTTAGATAGGAAAATCTACATGGGACAACCTATAGGGTTGTTATTCCTGAACATGCTTAGGGAGTCTATAGTTAGACAAATCATTGTAAGATTTGAAATAGACTCTAAGACGATGGCATGAATACACTGGTTCTCTCTCATGGTTTTAAAATGAAAGTGACAAGTGCATTTAGTACAAATTGAGAATGACACTTGCATTATGAATGACACTTCGATCTTTGGTACAAAGACTCGTGATGTCAATATGATGAAAAACCATGTTGGTTGAGAATTATGAAGGTAAAAAGATCTGGATGAAGCAAGTGTTATGCTCGGAGATCCAGATTACTAGGACAATGAAAGAGATTTCATCTAGATCAGTTTAACTAAACAGTTAGATCTAGAGGAAATACGAGTTCTACACCTGCATAAATGTTTGATGGTGCTAGTATAATTTTTAAGAGCACCAAAGACGGTGTAAGAAAGTAAGAACATGCTAGCATCGACAGTCTGCGAGAGGCAGCTGATAAACATGAGACCCGACATAGTGGGGGTGCTTGGCAGGCTTACTGATTGTCCTAGTATGAAGCATTGAAATGCTATTGAAAGGGGTCATGAGACACCTTAAAAGAACAGAAAAACCTTGGTATTTGTTATCAAAGGTTTTGCTGTATTGGTAGGGTATAGTGATGCGGATTAGAATACCCTATAGAGAACTCCAAGACAACAAGAGGATGTGTTTTAAACATCGATAGAGAAGTTGTGTCTTGGAAGTCTAAGAAAAAAGAAGTAAACGATCTTGGGTCAATCAACTATAGAATCAGATATGATAGAACTAGCAATGGCTAGTAAAGAAGAAAGTTGATTGAGAGGGTCATTACTAAGAGATTCCCTTATGGGAAATACCGTATCCGCCGGTATTGATCCATTGCGATAGCAATTGCTAAATAGAACCGTAACAAATGGTGAGAGGCGACAAGTTCGTCATGAGAACAGTACTGGAAGAGAGAGTCCCTAACTGTTGGAGCAGTAAGGGTGGATCACTTAAAAGAGAATCTAGTTTATTCTTTGACGAAAGGATGAACTTGAGATTATAAAAGAATCTAGTTGGTCCTTTGACGAAAGGACTAGCTAGAGAGAAAGTCTAAAAATACCACGAAGGGTATGAGACTTATGCCTACCGAACCATGGATTACAAGTGATGGTAACCCGACCCGATAGACTGGAGATCCCAAGAAACGGGTTCAATGGGTAATAACAAGTCATGAGTAATATTGAGAAAAGTTCATGCATAGTGAAGCATGAATCCCAAAGCCTTGGAGGTTGAGTTAAACTCTTAATGAGATCTATACTCTATGTGGAGTGAAGTACTTTACTTTGGGGGTACTTCTGATAGACTCACCTATGTGAATGTGGGAGTGGGGCCGCTCTCTATGGAACTTTGGAGGCACAAAGTTGCTAGAGCGTTCACTAAACCGGGATAACGTGCATGGCCATAAACGCACGGCCTAT